CCTGCCTAACACAAAGCAGTTTTAACACGCCTACATAATTACATGCATACATACAGGCTGCCACATTAGGCGCAATGCATTACACATTATATTTCGCGGGACTACATCACATTTAAAACACGTTGCCGAAATTGATGGGGGGCAGGTGACGGAATTTGCACGAATGAGCCTAACCAAGCAGATTCTGTAACCTCGCAACCTGACAAAACCCTCGTGCCTACAGAAAAGCAAAGCGGTACCAAGCACAACCGCTTCGGTCTCGGCTGGTAGTGTACAACGGCTGGCAGGCTGACGATGTATTTTACCGTGCCTTGTGCAACTCTGACACGAAGTGGTAGGGCTTGCATTGCATCAAGCAAACTAATTAACCCTTCCGAAGCCGAGGGAGATTGCAATTTTGGGTCGGAAGATCGGCGCCGATTGCCGAACATATCTGGGAGCTCAAATCAAATTCCGAAGTTGGCTGTGCCCATCTATCCGCACTGCTGGAGGCATTTGTTCAACCTCATGCAAAATGCACTTTCACAGGGAAGCTAGTCATGTATAGTAGTGGGAAGCCAGGGGCACTCCGATCTCCCTTTTCCAGCTGTTCGACTGGTAGCGCGCGGGTCACAGGGAATTGAGACAGGCTTGACTGCGGCAGTTGCAAAAAGCATACTAAATACCAGTAGCCGGGACTGCTAGTGACTGCTAGTGTCCACCACGTGGTGTGTATAAACGGAAGCATTTCATGCTGCCATGGCTGTGCCACGCGATGTCTGTTGCAAGGTGCAACGAGCCGCTTGGAAGGCATTTTCTGTACCGCACGTCAGGACTTGCCGTAGCAGTTGGATTGCACAGCAACGTGTATAATGAGTGTACAGTAGACTCCAGCGATTTGAAATGCAATGGTCGGCGATTCAGCAGGCCGTTCAAGCGGACGTTGGATGGGAGCTTTCTTCACACCAGCAGCCGAGGACGTTGCGAGAGTCCTCGCTCCCCTCCACTGGACAAAGGCTTTGATCTGAAACAAATCCTTCCCATGGAAGGACAATTTCGGAGCATTCCAGATCTCTGTCTTGGCCGGGTGCCTTGGGCTTAGGTTGGCTGGGCATTGCACCCAGTGACAGGTCGCACAATCCTACGTGCGATCACACTTCGTGTAAAGCCTGCATGCATGAAGTGCCGAGGACAACCTGTCAGGCTAGACACGCTCGGAATGGCAAGCTCTACACATACCTGCAGGCCATACCTACACTCTGAAGCAAGCATTTGCATTAACATACGTTTTCGATGGCATGTAAATTGCCAAGTACGGGACTCTTGAGCACAGATATGCTGGGTTTCTGCATCGTCTGAGCGATGTGCGGGCTTCTTGGTCTACTTGTGAGAGTTTCTTTCTTCTGAGAGTTTAGGAATGCTCCGATTCTTCTGCTAGTAATGGAAGATGGTTCCACGTTAAATGTCGTGCACGCGGACTCCGGAACTCAATTCTGGGTGCACAGGCACAGGCTGTACAGGGGTCTGTGCGAACTGGCTGCAAGCCCGGCTGTTGCGGGGAGCAGCAGCAGAAAGTACACCATTCTGAGGAGGACTCTTGAAAAAAGGCTGCTTTGTGGAATAACCAAGCTCGTACACTCGCTCGAACTGCATGCGGAGACTCTTCCGACGCCGCCAGTTGCGGATTGCAGTTCTCAGCAAGACCTGGTATGGGAGCATCGACTTATAGCTTCGCTGTGTCCCGAGATCTGAAATCGGTACAAGACACCCTAGAAGCTGAACCTGTCTTATGCTGACACCCGGTACGGACCTTAAGACCTTCAGTTTTGGGAACAGTGGCAATCCTGGAAAGTACCTCGATCTTTTCATTTTCATGCTTCAGTCACTTCATGCAGTCGAGGAGTCGAGAACCAAAGATTGGATGATTAGAGTTACATGTTTGCCTTGGATCCGGCCTTCATCCGTGCCAACCTGCCCTGAATGCGCAGCTCGATTAGCATGTGCCGCACGTCTGCTCCGCTCACCGGCGAAGCCGTCGTGGCAACGCGCATGATCGACTGGGTTCGGTCGATCCGGTAGCCCAGAAAGCCAAAGCTCACGAAAGACCAAAAGTCAGCAACTGCTGCAGCCATCTCATGGAACATCACAAAGAAGGCCACTGCTCGCTGAAGGGACGCAATCCGGCTTTCGTAGAGTTGCATCGAGATGTTCTGCGTCTTCGCTAGCTCAAGTCTCTCGGCCACGGACGCCGCATGATGAAGCAGCCTCTTGCCATACACGGACTCGAGGGACTCGTAGACTTTGGTGCATTCGGAATCGAACTCTGTGTCCTCAGGTCCAGCAGCTGCCTGCAGGCAGACACATCTGAGGATGTGTAACTGATGCAACATGTCAGAGGAGTCCATGCGCTTCAGAAATTGAATGTTGCACGCACAGGCGGAATGCAAAGGAGCAGTAGACACAACACACAACTACGCTCCCCAAAACGAAACGGTTCTAGGATTCTAGGCAACCGTCATCCCTGCAGGCCCTCAATTGCATCTGCTCGAAGTCCACCAATGAACGCAAGCTGGACTTCTGCATGTTGAAGATAAGCTTGCAGTCGGCACGGGAGACGCCGCCGCAACCAGATTCCAGACGTTGGAAGATCGTCCGGACCGCCTTTTGGCAAACGTCCTGGCTTGCAAAACTGGCCGGGATCTCGGCAAATTCGAATGTTCAGGGTTGACGGTGCGCAAGACCGACATGTCAAACATGTTCACAGCAAAATTCAGAACGCCCCACAACATCCAAAGAACCAGTACACTATAAGTATGTGGATTTCCATGACTTTCGACCTGTTCCCCGAAACCCGGAGACCGTCCTGGCGAAGGAGCTTAAAGCCTCTCCAGCATTCCTCAAACTTCACGTAGCCGTCCTGGATCGAGCAGATGCAATATCATGTCAGATGAAATATATAAAACCGGTCGCAGGGTCTGTCTCGAACGATTTCGGCCTGCGAGGTTTCAAGGTAAAAGGACGGCCTTGGCGGCCTTGGTACCCGTGCTAGACCGAATGAACGAAACTGTTCTCATGGTAGCACAAGCTCCTAAACTCAAAATCCCGAGAGTGCGCAACCCCCCCCCCCCCCCCCCC